CCCGCACCGCACCCCGCACACCTCCTGGAGGGGCGTAAGGCGGGAGGTGGCGGCTACCACCATTCGAGCGCTTTCCGGCCGGTGGGCGGCAAGGACGACGCGGAGAGCCTGGCCAAGCTGCACTCGGCCCAAGCGCACCACCACCATCACCACCACCACCAACCACACCATCACCACCACCACCACCATCCCCCGCAGCCACCGTCGCCGCTGCTGCTGCTGCCCCCGCAGCCCGACGAGCCAGCTTCTGAGCGCCACCACCCAGCGCCCCCGCCGCCGCCGCCACCCCCGCCGCCGCCGCTGGCCCCGCAGCCGCCGCACCACCGAGGCCTTCTGTCCCCGGGGGGCACCAGCTGCAGCTACCCCAGCGAGGACAGCTCCGGAGACGAGGACGACGAGGAAGAAGAGCAGGAAGTGGACGTGGAGGGCCACAAGCCCCCCGAGGGCGAAGAAGAGGAAGAGGAAGGTCGAGACCCTGACGACGAGGAGGAGGAAGACGAGGAGACCAGAGTGCTGCTAGGAGACCCCTTAGTTGCGGGTGGCCGCTTCCTCCAGGGCCGAGGGCTGTCGGAGAAGGGGAGCAGGAACCGCGCCACTGCCGCCCCGGGCGCTTTCCCACTCGCCCTGAACTCCTCCAGGCTGCTGCAGGAGGACGGGAAACTGGGTGACCCCGGGGGCTCGGACCTGCCTTCGCTCCCACCCCCGCCCCTGGCCCCCCAGAAAGCCAGCGGTGGCAGTGGCAGCAGCCCTGGCAGTCCCGTCCACCATCCATCACTGGAGCAGCAGCCCTCCTACAAAGATGTAAATATCCCCTTTAGGCTCCTTCAAGCTAATTATTATTATTTAAATGCACCTTTAGGCTGAATCGGTTACATATGCGCAGGCAAGATGAATCACCAGATTTTCCCCACAGAAATGAAATATTCAGTGTGTTTGGGAGGACTTCTTTCCTACCATGTTCCTCTATTTTAAAAAAAAATGTGGCTTCTGGTGTCTTTCTAATAAAGCCTTCTAAGGCGTTCGAGGCCTTTTATGTTTAAGTTGACTGCTGTGAAAACTGGGAAAGACCCTTAAACTGAAGGAATCCTTTCTAGTCCAGCAATCTTCATTTGCAGCCAGCTCAGCACACCCTTTCCCCTAGAAGCATAGGGAACAAAAATCGGGAGCCACTGGAATAATCCTGTCCCCATTCTCTCTAGTTCAGCTCCTCCTCCTACCAAGAACACCACCCTCGCTGCCCCCCCCTACAGAAATGAAAATACATTGGCTTCAAAAGTTGTTATTTTAACTGCTTGAATCAAGATTTAGCCAGAATGGATCCATCTGTAAGATGCATGTCCCATAAAAAAAAAAAAAGACAGAATCTCCTGCCAGCCTCTTCTCCAAAACACATCTCTACTAGCTGAATCCCTAAAAAGGAGAGTTACATTTAAATGGTCCGGAGTTCAGTGTTCACTCAAGTGTACTTAGGACACTCAGAGGCCTCTGAGAGAAGTGGTTCTGCCCTAAGTGACAAACAGCTTGGTGTGCTTATTTACAGGGGCCACAAGAGGCATATAGTTAGTTAATCCAGAATGTTTCTTAAGGGTTAGTGAAAGTTCTTTGTAGACCCACAAGTGTATTTAAGCACAGAAACTATCCAGAGAAGATGATCATCAAAAAATGATGTCTCCTGAGGCCACATAGAGTCACTTTTATTGATGCCTCTTCCTGCTGACTGTTGACATTAGCATATGGCTTGATGCGGGCATTGATTTGTGTGTCTAATTCTTCTCCACACAGAATCAGAAAACTAAGGAAAATAACCAAGTTATTGTATCTACAAAGGATGACAACAACTTTTCAGGTAAAAGAAACTTGAACCACCACTTCACATTCCTGCATTCGGTCATTTCAATGACACTCACTCCATGCCTCTCCATCTTCCCACTACCAATATTCTGTTTGTTTATACATTTAAAAAAAAAAGACATCACAGTTTATATTTGAAAGGGCAGCATTTCTGTACTTTCCAAGCAATGATAATTTTCCAAATAATAGTGCCACTGTCCTGAAGCTCAGCATACCTTTTTGCATTTAAATGATATCAACTCTCTAAACATGCCTAAATATATACATACATGTTGAAATTCTTAGATGTGATTGTACTCTGGAGAGTTGGCACATTCTGGAGACAAGAACTTTCTGATATCTCTCTTTAAACCTAATCTCTTTCAAACTTAGGTATAATAAGCAGTATACTCCTCCCTTAAATATCTTGGACATCTTTCTGCCTTACTTGACTGATCACTTGTGCTTTGTTTTGGTTCTAGATAAGAACAAGGAGCATAGCTTCTTCATCACAGACTCTGATGCTTCTGGAGGAGATTTTTGGAGAGAGAGATCAGGTAGGCTGGGAACAAATAGGAGGAATAAAGCATCAGATGGCAGAGAGAGGGGCTGAAATTCATAATCAAAAGACTGAATATTTGTACAAGGGTAAAGATAACAAACAATTCCTAGTAGATATAACTAAGAAAAACACAAATGGGAAAGCAGTGACATTAATAGCAATAAGATTATTAATTGCTGGGCATATTTCAGGAGAAAATTCAGAAATATATCAGGTTACACAATGAAACAGGCTGGAAAAGCATAAAATGACAATAATTGAAATGTTCTCTTAGAAACCTTCCATTAAAAAGGATCACAGCTTATTGCTTTTAATATCTGTCAGAAAGACATTAAAGGTGTTTTATGACATCTATGCCAACATTTATATTATCTCCATGATAATGATCTCTACACAAAATGTATAATACATTTACAAAAATTACATTATACAAATTAAATGAAACCACCTTTTACTGATTGCTAAATGTCTCCAAGGGGTTTGGGAAAGACGTGATTAGAAGTTTTGATACTAAGTTGTCTATTGCAGTGTCTTAAGGAGAGGGTTTTGTTTCTTGGGAAAAAGGAATCTAATTTTCCATTTATGTAATGCAAACTGCCTTGGCTTTGACTATTCACGGTTAATTGACTGTCAAACGAGGTTGTTATCCTGCGGCAATGTCTGCAAATTTGCCTGTCAAATGAGACAGAGAGAGCAAGCACGGAAGTGAGGGAAAGAGAGAGAGTGTGGTTTGGGGAGCAGAAATAAAGAAAATAGGATCTTAAAGGAATCTTATGTAACCGCAAAGTACAATAGAAAAGGTCGTCAAACCTTTGTTTGTATGTTCTCATAGAGGAAACTTCTTAATACCTTAACTCAGAAAGACAAAGCCCTATTTTAAAGAAAAAATAGTTTTATCTATGATGAGAATACTTTAGCTATATACATATAGGTTAGTAGATATTTCTAAATTATCTCATTCATACATTATATAAATATTGATCAACATCCAATTTTGGCTGACAGTGCTAAGGAGTTACCGAGAATAATTTCATAGTATAATGGTTTGTGGCCATGATAAAATCTGCATGAATTGCACTGTTACTTGGTACATTCTGGCTTTACCTGTTAGCACATTTTAAATGGTTTTTATTATTATTATTTCCATATGTTAAAGATTTACAGCCTTTGAAAATTCATTCAGTGCTCTTTTGCAAATTTGTTCAAATATTTAACAAGATAAAATTGTTAAATGAGGATTTTTCAATTACAATCTAAAGTCACAAAGACAATAGTATTTGCCCAAGAACTACCTCCTGCTTAATGGAATACTCCACAAAACTGAGGCCTGAAAAAGATTGCTACCAAGAATTTCTAAGCGATCTGCACATGGGGAAAATAAGGGTTTATAAATCAATTAATTCTGTAATATCTTGTCATTTCCCAGACATTTCTAAATATTCAGTTGCCTTGTTTGTTTGATAGGGTAGAAATTAATAGGCACGGAAAACAATATTCATGAATATGAAGAAAAAAACAATTCAAGAAACATTTCTTAGCCCTAGATCAAGTGATTTTTAGTAGCTCTGGATAGCTAAAAATAGATGTTAAAGTAGCCCAATTTCCCCCTGCCTGGAGACCACAGATGGGGAGACTATATGTACTCTGGTGAATGCAAATTAACCTGAGCTGTGGTTCAGGGCCCTTTGCTGGTCTATATTGTATGGCCAATGAGCACTTAACAGAATTCCCATTGCTCTCTTCCAAAATAGACAGTGCTCAGAACAAGAGTTTAAAAGCAGTGTCATATCCTAGTAATGCTTATATGCTTATAAATAACTTACTTCATTTGAAAAGACTTGTATTCTTTTTTCTTATTTTATATGTGATCCCATTTTGTAAGCAGGCTGCTTAAAGGCTCAAAGTTCAACAGAATAAGAAAACTACTTATAGCACTGACATTTTTCTTTAAAATAATGTTACCATTCAAAGGCAGGTTAAGAGCTCTGCTTCCTATACACTAATTTTAATTGGTTTTAATTTCCTGTTGCTTGTTAAAAGTAATATAATTTATTTAGATTCATAATTAATTAATAAAAAGGTTATTCTTGACTTCCTATATCCTAAAGTTTTTATTTTGGAACTGGATATTGGCAATATTAAAATTCAAATTATACACATAAAATACAAAATAACATATATAGAGATCCATTCACATAAAACCTTACACTTTCTTCAACTACCAAACATCAATTACCATAAGTCTGCTTTTGTTAAATTCTTACTCTATTCTGATACAAATTTTGGAGGAAATAAAAGATCTCAATAAGCTATAAAAGAAGAAAATGTGCACAGCTTTTCAAGAGGTAGCAATGAGTGATCTATAAAAACTTCAGGATAATTTCATGCTTAAAATAATTTCCATAGACTTAACGAGAGAATCCAAATTCCACAATCTGAAATCATTTCTTTTTAAAAACTTTCATTTCTTACAGTACATTTAACAAGTAGTATTCATAAAGTTCAACAACTGTATATCTGTTTCTAGTTAGCAAGCCAAATCCATTAGGACAAACTGATTCCTTGACAGAGTATCTTCATTTCATTTCTTTTGCCTTCCTCTGACTTGAATAGAATTTAAAGGAAGTTCATGGATTTGGAGAGAGTTTATTTTCCATGCACTGACTAAAATGCCTCTAGACCTCCAAAAATGATAGCCAGAGAGGATAAAAACTACAGAATCCACCATTGTTTGATATTCACATGGAAATATAAATGCTAAAGGAAGAAAGTAAAAATGTAGTCAGGATTGGTGTTCACATAAAAATTCTGCAAAGCCTGGAGCTCAGGACAATACAGTCAATAGTTACTGTGCTAATAACACCCACTCATCCTCTTGATATATTGCCAGTTCCGTTCTCACAATAATTAATTTGATACAGATTCCCAGAGATATTTGTTCTACATTGATTTTCCATATCACAATTTCATTCCCACATTATTCAAGGAAACATCAGGATAGTAAGTTATAAGCTATTATAATCTCGTATAAGTGATAGCATGTAGAATGGATTATTGAAATGAAAAAGTCTCAGATGAATTTTGTTCAATTTATGTTGGAATCTTGAGTCAAAAGAAGTTTATCCTGATGACTGTTTTGCTGAGAATGTGGAATTTAATGTACGTTTGCATGTTTGTATGCATTTTGAAATGGAGTCTCCTTATATTTCCTGGGCTGTTTTCAAACTTGTGTGCTTAAGTAATCCTTTTTGCCTCAGTCTCCTGAGTATCTAGGGCCACAGGCATGGACCTGAGTTTGTATGTGGAGTTTTAAACTCCAGAAAGTGCTTAAAGGGTTTCAGTTTGTTATAGGATTTAACTTTCTATACTTCAACTGTCATTGTGTATAGAAAAATTAGCTTATGGTCTTCCTATTGATATACACATTTGAGAAATCCCCAGGGTGACTACTCAATTTGCTTTGGGTTTTGATATTAATTTATTTACTCATGATCAGATTCCAAGAAATGATTTATTTGGCAAAGTGTCCAAAATTCATATGAGTCAAAGAGATTATGAGCACTCGTGATTATCTATTTGAGAATGGTAGCAGCACAATGTTTTTTTGTTTTTTTTTTTGCTGGTCATGGGGCCTGAACTCTGGGCCTGGGCGCTGTCCCTCAGCTCTTCAGCTCAAGGCTAGCGCTCTACCACTTGAGCCACAGCGCCACTTCCGGCTTTTTCTGTTTATGTGGTGCTGAGGAATTGAACCCAGGGCCTCATGCATGCAAGGCAAGCACTCTACCACTGAGCTACCTTCCCAGCCCCAGCAGCACAATGTTTTATGTAGACTCCTTGCTTGTGGATGGAGATATTTCTCTTTGTGTAACAACTGTTAACTTCTATACGAAAAGCATTTATTTACTCATGTCCTCCACAGTTAGCTTTGAATACCTACTGTGTGCCAAGTACTTGGCCAGGCAGGCTCTGGGGATTCAGAGATCGAAATCAACACTAGTCTCTGTCTTCATTTGCTGACAGTCAAGAGGAGACAGTCTAGCTACACTAAAGTATGAATACCAGGATAGGGATCTACATAAAATACCATCTAAGTCAGATGTAGTAGTGGATGCCTGTAATTCTAGAACCTAGGAAACTGAAGCAGGAGAATCACACATTTGAGACAGCCTGGGCTACACAGTAACATTTTGTCTTAAAAAAAAAAAGAACAAAAAATATATAGTAATATAACCAAAACTGTAAGGTTGATGTGTTCTTTTAACAAATGGATATACAATTCAATTATTATCACTGAAAAATAACATTTAATGATATTTAATTTCTTTGCATTCACAACTAGAATATAAGAGAATGAAATGTCTTTTCTGAGGACCTGATAACTCAACGTGCAGTTTTTAGCTTTTATGTGAAGTTTTCATTTTCATAGTAATTATAAATGTAGATGTAGATTATCAGGATATTTTAGTGACCCCAAGATATATCTTTCTTTAAGTGATAGTTATTTGCATTAAGTAATCCCTTAAACAAATTCAGCTGAGCAGCAATACTTAGTTCAATGGAAGTTTGGGGGGATTTTGTTTTGTTTTGTTGAGAATCTCTGTATAGCCAGGCTGGCCTTTGTCCTTCTGCCTCAGCCTCTTGAGGCTGTCCTACCCTAGAGTTTTTCAGTTCATGATTTTAATTCAGTTCACTCCCACTTCCACCTTTCAGTCTTATTAGTAATTTTCTTTCCAGCAATTTTGAAGAGTTTATATTTTTCAATGATTAAATGGGAAAAAATTCATGCAAAAACTTCACATGCAGAAGATGTACTTCTGTATAATTAGAGGAGATAAATTTGCATGAAGCTCTTAAGCAGTCAAATTTCCCCAGGAGTCAGTAGAACTTTCATGTACAGATCTGCTTAAAGATCTGACCTATGCTTAAAACCAAGTCAGATAGATTGAGGGACAGTAGTTTGATCAAAATATTACCTACTCAAAAATATAAAGGAGC